GAATATAGAACTTTCAAAAACTTCACAAAATAACTGGAATTGAAATCGGACAATTTCTACAGAAAAAAAAATCAACGTAAAAATGATATTTTCTTAGTCCTTCTAGTTTTTTAAGATTTTCTCAGCCAAAGAGTGGTCGAATCAAAATAAAAAATATATATTCGTGATCAGCTTTTCAAGCTCTATTAAACTGTATATAAACGAACGAGAAATAAAATCCACTCCAATTTTGCATTTCCGGCACCTTACCTTTTATTATACATCTGTAAAAAATGAACAAAAATTCTAAATTTCATTTAAAAAAGTATTTAATTTAATTTAATAAATTTTGCATTCATTTACTATCAAATCAACTTTCATGTTCCATTACCGATTGAGAAAAATTAATTAGATAAGTTGTGTCATGTGGCTCTTCCTGAGCGAGAACTTAACATGTAAAATCACTCGAACATAGAACAGCTTCAATAATACCTGCTTCAAATGAACCACAATTTAAATTTCTTTACAAAAACAAAGAAAATTATTATCATTTTTTTGGGGTTGGATGGATGTGGGTGGGAAGTGTGTACATGAAGAGAAAATCCACACTCGATGATGGGATTCCACGATAAAATTAGAAAAACTAATCAATGAATTTTTTTTATCGTGTAGTTCGATTTTGAATTTTGTTTGATTGCAACGAATCAAACGAACAAAACACGTGTGTTTTTCGTTTGGTCTTCTTATCAATCTTCTCTTCCTACATGTCTAGATGCACATGCACACACACATAATACTTAATGCAATGTTGGAAAAAAACTTGACAACTAAACAAACAGCAAAAGACAAACAGAGAACAACATTATTAAAATTCTATTTAAAAGGTTTCATTTTTTCTTTTCTACGAATGACTCTAATGCATTTATTGTTTATCCTTTTCGTTCTTGTTCTTCCTTGCTGTTTGCTTAATGCACAGAAGTTTGGCCTATTCATCGTCGTCATTTCGTCAACAATACTCTTGAAAAAAAACGAACAATCGAAATTCTCAACCCCTTGAAGTCTATAGCAACAAGCCAGAAAAAAAAGTATCGAAATAAGAGAATAAAACAATTATAACAACACAGGAAGGCGACGTTTCACTTTTGCGTTCATTCATTGATTCATATACATATCGATTATAAATATAGAGAAATCCTCAAAAACTCCTGCTAGTGGGCGAACAACGATGGCCACCATCAATAGTAGTGCTGTACTCCCCGAACGTATGCGTCCGATTCTGGAAAATTGTCTTTTGATCTGGCTTGATGCCGATTTCGATGAATTGAAAAATGATTATAAACAATCAATGCAACAGCTTCGAAATGTCATAGCAACAATTATTACATTTACAGATGCTGATCAATGTGTTGATTATCTTAGTGACGTTAAAGATGAAAAAGTGTTGATGATCGTATCTGGTTCACTGGGACAACACGTAATACCAGAGATTCAAGCATGTCCACAATTGAACTCCGTATATGTTTTTTGTGATAATCAATCAATTCATGAACAATGGGCAAGAAAAATATCTAAGATAAAAGGTATTTGCACACAAATTGAACCGCTTTGTAAAGCATTAGAAATTGACCATAAACATTGTGATCGATCTATGATCTCGATGAGTTTTCGTGGCATCGATCCTTTGTTTATGTACACACAATTACTTAAAGAAGCATTTTTGGAAATCGAAGACGATGACGCGACATCTATTAAAGAACTGGTTGATTATTGTCGTCTTCACAATGCTGCTTCTCCAACCACACTAGAAATTCTCGAACGAGAATATCGTCATCATCCACCAAGTTGGTGGTATACAGGACCCTTCTTTATTTATTCTATGCTCAATCATGGTCTTCGACTTATGAATGTTGATGTTATAATGAGAATGGGTTTTTTTATTCGTCATTTACACAAACATATTGAAAAATTACATCGCGAACAACAATCCGATGAGCCCACCAACAGACCATTCACAGTCTTCCGTGGACAAGGTTTGCCCATGGAAGATTTCGACAAAATGAAACAAACAAAAGGAGGACTTATGTCCTTCAATAACTTCCTTTCAACCAGTCGTCAACGAGACATTTCACTCGGCTTTGCACGTCAGTCGCTCGGCAATACTAATTCTGTCGCCATACTCTTCACTATGAATATTGATCCGATGATATGCGTACAATCGAAAATTCCCTATGCCGACGTGGAAGGTGTCGGTTACTACGACAATCAAGAAGAAGAAGTACTTTTTGCAACACATACGATCTTTCGCATCAATCACATTAAGCGCATCGAAGACAAAGATACCGATCACCTATGGCAAGTTAATCTCACCCTTACGGGTGATGACGATAATGAACTCAATATGCTTACGTCACATATACGTGAAGAGATAGAGTCCCAACAACGAGGATGGTTTCGTCTTGGTGTCATACTTATTAAACTAGGTGAAGCTGCAAAAGCCGAACACCTGTACAAAATGCTTCTCGAAACGGCGTCTTCTGATAAGCAGATATCAGATTACAATCATATGCTTGGTTGGCTGTACGATGCTATGGGCAAATACCCAAAAGCACTTATATTTTACGAAAAATCACTCCAAATCAAAGAAAACACCACTCCTCCAAATCATCCCGACTTGGCTACTTCCTACAACAACATCGGCATGGTGTATAATAACATGGGCGAGTACTCGAAAGCACTTTCATCGTACGAACGGTCACTTGAAATCCAAAAAACAGCTCTCCCTCCGAATCATCCCGACTTGGCTTCTTCCTACAACAACATCAGTGTGGTGTATTATGGCATGGGCGAGTACTCAAAAGCACTTTCATCGTACGAACGATCGTTTGAAATCCAAAAAATAGCTCTCCCTCCGAATCATCCCGACTTGGGGGCTTCCTACGAGAACATCGGCATGGTGTATCATAACATGGGCGAATACTCGAAAGCACTTTCATCGCACGAACGATCACTTGAAATCCGAAAAATAGCTCTCCCTCCGAATCATCCCGGCTTGGCTTCTTCCTACAACAACATCGGTATGGTGTATAATAACATGGGCGAGTACTCGAAAGCACTTTCATTGCACGAACGATCACTTGAAATCCAAAAAATAACTCTCTCTCCGAATCATCCCGACTTGGCTTCTTCCTACAGCAACATCGGTATGGTGTATGATAACATGGGCGAGTACTCGAAAGCACTTTCATTGTACGAACGATCACTTGAAATCCAAAAAATAGCTCTCTCTCCGAATCATCCCGATTTGGCTACTTCCTACAGCAACATCGGCATAGTGTATAATAACATGGGCGAGTACTCGAAAGCACTTTCATCGTATGAACGATCACTTGAAATCCGGAAAATAACTCTCTCTCCGAATCATCCCGACTTGGCTTCTTCCTACAACAACATCGGTATGGTGTATAATAACATGGGCGAGTACTCGAAAGCACTTTCATCGTACGAACGATCACTTGAAATCAAAAAAATAGCTCTCCCTCCGAATCATCCCAACTTGGCTGGTTCCTACAACAACATTGGTTCGGTGTATGATAAGATGGGCGAATACTCGAAAGCACTTTCATCGCACGAACGATCACTTGAAATCCGAAA